TAGCAACAGAAAAAAGTCAAACACACTTGAGCTCCCTGAAAGAGAAGCCTCTTATGTTCCTTTAAAACATGAAAATACCCATTTTGTTCTGTCAAAATAAATACTGAAGACTTTTATAAAAGTTTCTTTTGTTGTTGTTGTCGTCACCTTTAGACATTTTGTGGGATTTTAATTTCTTTATATACACATTCATGCCGAAAGCTGCAAATGAATTAACTACAAAAGTGTTGAGATGGAAACAGACACGGAATGAAAGTCAGAAAGTCGCACAAATAGCAGCCACTGTCCAAAGTCTACTCTTATTATCTTTCTTCAAAGAGACATATTCTGCTCATTTTCAGGTTGATAATTTAGATTAGTGTTGTTACTGTAAAATGTTTCCATGCTCTAATGGTCAGATCACTTTTCTCACACACTTGGTCGTTCACGTGCTAAGACTCAGACAGTGGCTGCATCTGAGAGAAATCCTGCAACTGAGATCTCAGATGTTAAGAATCCGTTCAAATGACACAAAACAAAACAAAGCAAGGCAAAGAGGCTGAGCTGAGAATGTCACGAGCAGATATCACCTGCGAGGTTAAATGATCCAAAGCAGAAACTCTTTTTGCTTAATTTCTGCATTTAAAAAATATATCATCTACAGAAAGAATTTACTTTCAAAGGAAATTATAAATAAATACAAATAGAAATAATTTGATAAAATATCAGGGATATTTCAGAGGCAAGTGACTTTTAAAGGCTACTGATTGTGCTAAGGGAAAATTATAGAGACATATTGTTTTGACTTTGAACCACCCCCAGAAAACTCAGGTGGACGTTCAGCTACTTCCTGCTCCCTGCTGCAATGCATTCTGGTCTTTTTTAAGCTGCGCTAAGCGTGGAAATGGACCGAGTTCCTGTTTCATTAAAGCCGAACATCGAACATTAAAACTTGATTCTCTCTGTAACAGCATCTAAGAGTAGAAGAGTAAAAGCCACAATCTATAATAAGCTTTATATCTGGAAGGTGAGTTTGAAAAGTCAGAGAGACGTTGGATGAGACCGGTTCTTAATCTCTCAGACGAACACTCGCAAAGGATTCAGAAAACTTCAGTTCACACCTCCGCTCACAAACATCGGCTCTAAAGAGTTTAACCACTGGAATCAGATTTTAGAAAACCGTGTGAACATTCCTTCAGGGGTGGACGGATGCTCTGAGGACGGTTTGGAGGGTTCTTTCTCCTCCGTCTCATTCTGCCTGAAACGGCTGCACGACCCCTCAGATGATTTCCAACATGCAGCGCACTCACATTGATTTTTTCTCGTGATGTGTTTGCTTCGTGTCCAAACGTGGTCGTCCTCGCTTTCTCTTGGCTCATTAGACTTCATGAAACTAAGCGAGCCCGACTTTTCTGCATTCAGAGAGTTGGGGAGCTTCCCACGCAACACGCACACACTCACACACACACACACAAACACACAGCGGCTGACATTAAGCTTTCACAGATGTCATAGAAACTGCAGCTGTGAAAGTGGGCGGCTATCGAACATCGGCAGGATATAGAAAAACAAACGCATACACTGAGTCTTTCTCCATTTTTGGAAACACAACGACAAACTGAAAAAAAAATTGGGGATTGAAAGATGCTGAACACGTGGATGTGATGCTGATAAAAGAGACTGGATCTGGATAAAACAACGTGTCTCAGGGGAACTGTGCGTGATTTAGTGTCTGTTTTCTGTTAACGTCCCAGAATGCAACATTACAAAATCAGAATTTTCTTAATTGGAAATGTTTAATATCCTTAAGTTGACGTTTTGAGCTTTAAAACGTTTCTTGACGAGGCAAATATCAAACGTCAGTAAAGCTGCAAACATCGTGACACAGGAGCTCGCAACCCTGGGCTGGTTGGAGCTGCAGACCGGACGCAGGCCGACACAGCGACAACGCTGCACAGACGAGCACCATGTCATTTCCTGCTTGTGCATTCTCCATTTTCTATCACTTCCTGTACCCACTATGTGGCACTACAGAGCATGGAACAGACATGCATTTTGTTGCCTTTTATCACGGCAGAAATTCAGGTAAAACAAGAACTTACCATCACTTAACTTTTTCTTGTTCATTTCTATTTTGCATCAACATCATCGAAACATTTCACAGTTATCTTATAAAAAATAACAGATTTCATCAATTTTGCATCAAAAAATTTCATTTTTATTTTCTAAATAAATATCATGACAGATTTTCCTTCACCACTTTCTCTCCGTAACTTTAAAGATGAACATTCACACATCAGGATTTGCAAAAGGAAACAACTCAACTGGCAATGACAATCGTAAGAAACACAGGACTGATCTGTACTGGAATAGATATAATGTTCATATCCACAGGTTATTTTTCTGGGAGGGATTTTTAATGTAGGGATTGTAGTGCCATTACACCTTCACTGAATACTGTAAATCAGATGGACTCCACTAAATCGATCCTTAAATCACAAAGTGCATGTGCTTCAATTATAGAAGACGGCACAGTTTAACACAAACAAGCAAAGAAATGGAATTAACAAAGAAAAACTTGAAGCGATTCCAAAAACACCAGACAACACTACCTTGAATCTTCACTTGAGTAGGTGGATTTTGAATAACAACATAATATATTCTAATTGATAAAATAGTTTAACTTGCTGTTTATTGAAAAGCAGATTCTTCTTGTCGTCCTCAACAATGTTTAAGTGACTTTTTAATGAACTATTCCCTCAAAGCAAACTGTATTTAACTCTCGTTGGGCATCAAGGTGAAGATGATCTGAACCAACAGATGAATATATTCAATTTGAAATGGATTACTTCCACTCTGCGGACTCTAACCCGTCAGGATGTTGTAATAATCTCTGTCCACTCCGTCCTCCACCAGACTAATGAATTCCCATCAGCAATAAAGTGAGACTCCATCACTAAATCTGTCTGTGAGCATCAGAACTGACAGTTACTGGCCTGAGAAGTGGCTTTAAAAAGCTGTTTTTCTCCATCAAGTGTGACGCTGTCTGGAATTTAACCTTCATCGCAGAAAACAAATCATCCATCATGAAACACTGACGATGAAAAAATAAAATAAAATTCTTTCAGCACGATACTGAAAAGAGAAACTTCAGTTTTGAGCGTGACTTAAATAATAATGGACGTATTTAGCTTTAGATTGATCACAAATCACCTTCTCATCCCAATTTTTGCCAGTTTTCATCTCATAAACTCGTCGTTTTATTTATCTGCAAAGTAAAAGCATCTTCTTGACAGTAAAGAATGAAATGAAGTGAACATCACGTCCTCTCCTGTCTGAGCCGTGACATGCGAGGCTCATATCTATGGATCTGGAGTAACATGAGAGCTGAAGTTTCAGTGGAGGATTGGATGTTTCGTTTGAACTTTCCTAAACTGGGTCAATGGGCTCGTCGCTGCAAGAATTTTGCCGTGTTTTTATCTAATTAACTTTTTCAGAGTGGGCTGCGTTTGAACCACTTCACTTCTGTATCTGACTTGATGTTCCTTGTTTGACTACATCTCACAGCTGCCTCCTGGTTCATTATTCATTTCAAACACCGCAAGAATCGTTGGAATTTCCCAGAAGGAGAAGTTTGTCCTCATGTTTACGTATAGACTGAAATATGAGCTTATGCTTTCAACCCTGTTCGTTTGTTTGGTTGTGAACAAGATTACACAAAAACAGCTGAATGGATTTCCACAAAAAACTTGCTAGAAGGATGCATTATGGGTCAGGCAAGAACTCATTATATTTTGGTGCAGGGCGTTTCAACATTTTCACTTGCTGTAGAGGACTGATATATGAGTGTGTGACATTTGGTGCAGCCTGATTGAATTCGAGGTGACTGTTGGGCCTTTGCAGAAGTGTGTCCTCTACTGAGTACCAGTTCACTTTTATTTTGTCACTCAATAGTATTTTTATCTTGCACGATGTGTCCAACTAAGAATATTGCTTTTGTGAAGGTGATTATTTGTGCTGCGTTCACTTTCAACCTTCACGTAACACTGACAGAGACACAGCCCCAACTTATCACCAGGTTATAAAGTTCTCACGGGAGATGTGTTATCAATCTAACAGACAAGAAGCAACATCTTTTATCCACTTTAAGTCCAATATTGACTCTTTTTTGCTGTAATACTGAAACATTGCACCAAAATCTAAAAGGGCTGAAAGAGTCAGAGTCGGTGCAGAGTTGTTGCTGATAATCCACGGTTCTTATAAAAATACTGATTAAAGATTCAGAGCATTCAGGGTTTTGTTAGTGTGCATCCTTCCTCTGGTGCAGTTAGCTTAGTGTTGACCACAGTCAAAGTGTTTTTATCTATTTTCTTGGTGCGTTATCTGAATTAAATGTAAAACAGCATGGCATGATGGGAAAATGGTGGTTCATACACGACAACATACGCACACATACACAAAAGCAAATTTGTATGAAAACGCACACACACACACACACACACACCATCACAGCGTCTATAGAATCATTCATGAGCCACATCTCAGCTGTGTCCGTTCTAACTTGTCATCATGTGGAACGTAAAGAGAAAACGATGAATGGGACGGAGCCGTGAAGAACTAGCAGCCTCTGTAATAAAGCACTTTGACAGTTTCGGTCGGGGATTTAAAGCGGACTCATAACCACACGTTCCTTTCAGCTTAGTGAGGATTTAGCAAAGCTGGAAAGCTCTGACCTGGGAAACAAAAAGGTTCTTCGGCTTTGAATAAGAGCTAAGACACGCAATGTTGAACATGTAATGTTTAGCAAAAAAAAATATTGTTCTGCGCTCTGCCTCTTTTCATGGAGGACACTTGTTTCAAAAGCTCGTTTGTGCCACAGCGTTTTGCTCGTTTTACAAGGAACAACCTTCTAAAATCTATCATCTGTCTCTCAGGCTTTTAACTGGAAAGCAACAATGGAGGGAGCTTCATGTAGAATTGTCAGAAATAGGTCCACTGTGTAATATCAGATAGCTTTGGCAACATATTTCACTTCCCTGACTCCCCAACAAAGTCATTAAACACATCTCGTGCTGTGAAATTCTCCTACACGAGCCACGGAAGCCGCTGGTTCTCCACAGGACACGCTGGACTTTACAGGGAGCGAGCGGCAGGCCGGCTGATCCATTCACAGTCGTGTTCTGGCAGTCGCTTCAGTTTGACTGGGCCACCTACGTCTCGGAGGAATCAGCAACAAGGAGAGAACTGGTTGTGTTCCAGTTCCTGCCCAGTTTAGAGACGAGTTTCAGCTGAGCTTCAAAACCTTCATGCACCCCAGGCAAAAACACATTCCTCTCCCGGATCCCTGAAATCACCTCGAGGCTCAGGTTTGGAGCTCTGCCGGGTTTTAGCGTCTGTGTTGCGTTTCAGCTCTGGATGTTTGAAGGCCGAGGTTTTGTTTCCGTCAGCCGCTGTGGTGACGGCGGGCAGAGCCGAGGTCGATAAAGGAGATGTGACTGAGGAGGAGTCGTCGTTGGTCACAAGCAGGACTCGCTGTGAAGACACTTCTTCTCCTGTGCCGTGTGGTTCCCGTTGTGAAGCACAGAATATCTAAAAGAAAACAAATAGGAAGAGGTTTTTTAACATTTACTGATTGACAACAAAAATAATAAAACCAAATATAGAAGCACCGAGAGTGAGACACGGTCAAAAAGTAAACATTGTAAGCTTGGTGACATAGTGGTGATCAGTGTGAAGACCTCAACAAGTTATTTATTTAACCTGAAGACAGAACGCCTCCGACCACTGACTGTAATGGAGGCTGATCTTACGAGGCAGCTGGATTTCTACACAAGCTAGAATCCATCTCACCGTTTGTCTGTGATGGAACCACAGTGTTTGATCAGTGTCTGATGAGGATGGAAGCAAAGCTCATCAACATTAATGGCGGCTGTAGCATCTCTTCTATCAGAACTGCATTCAAAGAAGAGCGCATGGCAGTGAAGTCTTATCTCAGTGGAAAAGATGTTTTGTATTATGGTGGCAGACGGACGTTTCATCCAATCACCTGCCGGGAATTGTTTTTGAAATGCCCGCCCCTTCTCCAAACAGTTAACAAAGCCGTCCCAGATGTTTTTGTGCACATCTGGAGCGTGACGTCACATCTGTTCTGGTCTCAGCAGAAACACAGTGACAAGTGGTCAAACTGCCATGGCAGAAGAATGTGAAAATCTGAGCTTTGTGCAAACAGTCTGCCAAACCACCTGAGCTGAATCAGGCTTCTACCACTTAAAGAACGAATGGAAAACTGAATCAGGCCGTTCTCTGCCAAACACCTTAGACTCTACAGGCTTTTATAAAAGGGATGATGCACTAATTTAAAGCCCCCTGATGGAAAATGAGTCATTTCTCAACATATCCTGATCCCTGCCGACTGGAAACACAGTCACACAGTCTTAGTTGCAGGAGGACGATCGAGAGAAGTTGTCAAACCCGTCAACTCCCTGAAGAGACGTTAGTGGATGTGACTTCTTGTGTCCATCAGTTTGTCTGGTATGCTAAGCTAAGGTGTTAGCTTTATGTCTCTGAGACTCACTTTAACTGGGTTCATGCACTCTCGCCCTTTCCAAAGCTTTTTTATTTCATTGGCTTCACGTCAGTGTTTGAAGCTAAAACGATGAACCCTCCATGGAGCAGGAGTCGAAATGGGAACAGTTCCAAAACACCAGGGTGGGTGACAGTGTCCTTCTTCTTCATTACACCTGGCGTTCCATCGATTGACAAAATCCAAGAGCACAAAGCAGCGTGAGAAGAAATCTGTGCAGGTGCAAGTGCAGGGTTTTCAGAACATGACATCAGTAAGTCCAGCTGTCCTCAAACTGAAAGACCAAACTCTTGAAGAAAGTGAAGACAAAAACCTCCATCAACTCTCATTCTCCTTAAATCCCAGATTGATACTACGATCAGCTCACAGCCGTTCTCATCTGACTAAAGAAAACATTAACATGACACAGAAATGAACGTTACACGTGCAGAAACTGTAACTGTCTCACAAAAACCAAAGCACAAGCACGAACACATCTAAATGCGACGTGACTGCACAACAAAGCTCCATTCAAGACCATGACGCACTTTTCTCAGAGTGTAAAAGAAACTCATTTGGCCACATTGGCGCTCACTTGTGTCGTCTATAAGCTTCACTGCGTTTCAATGAGGAGAGTTATTGCCTCTGGTGCACATGCAAGTGCTGTACACACGGCTGCATGTGTGCACAGGGACATGTACAGTGAACGATGGTGCACATCCCTGTGTGTGTGTGTGTGTGTGTACACGTGTTTGCACAGCGGGCTAAAACCATTACGAGCCGTTTACACAAACACCCTGACCAAAGACGCTTCCTGCTGCCAAACTGGCCGTGAAATTCAGCGTCCAGATCGCCTCAAACGTTTAGAGCTTTTCAAAAGGAAACCGGCTGCAGCTTCTCGCCGGAGCGGAACCCGAAATTGCTGCCACATTGCAGCGTTTACAGCCTCAGCCAGCCTCTCTGTTGTGCTGCCAGTGTGACGGTACAGTTGCTGTGGTGGAAACAAAGATGTTGGAGGGTCAGGTTTGTTTGGCCTGTTGGAAGTTGATGTATCATATAAGTTAATGAAACATTCATTCATCCATCAAGATGAACGGTTTCATGTGAGCAGTGCTTTATGGTCTTCGCAGCTCACTTAATGGTTTCTATCTACAACTATTCATGCTTGAGTGATTTATGCTAATCCGTCCTAATGATGCTGTAAATTGTGCTGACATCAGTGAAGTGATGTGATGTGGTGTTTCAAAGAAAAGAGGGGCCGGCACTAATATGAAGAAACCAACCTGTAACTAGCATCATCAGGTTTTATGATAAACTGGAGGAATTAACGCTCATTTGTTGCTTCGCAGAGTTTCTAAAGGGGAACAACTCTTTAAAAGCTCTGTCATATATTAAAAAGAGGCTCGACTGTCGGTCTCTTGGCAGCTTATGACAGGATGAAACTCTTTCACGTTAGAGAAAAACGTATAAAAGCCCGAATCCAAACAAACTCACCAGCACGAGGAAACAAATAAGTAAAACCATGTTTTTCTGATAATGTGCAGCCTGTTCATTTTGAGCTTCTCTAATATTTGGATGAAATGAGAATGTGGAGCGGGACATGTGGCTGGATGCCTCCTGTGTTTATTTGTGGGTTTGTTTGTACACAGCTGAGCCAACGGGACGACTGGCAGAGCAGGAGACAGGATGGGGATTTGTTTAATGAGGCCGGGGCAGAGAGACACACAGAAGGCCCGGATTACAAGCAGACTAAACAATCGACATATTTTTGGGCTTCAATGTGGCGAACGTGCATCTCGATGATGTGCCCTGCAGCAACATCTGAACAGAAGACTTTGAACTCCGATGATCCCGTGAGAAAACCTCACAATGGAGATCAAATGGTGTTTGTCAAAATAAATATTTTCTCCTGAAACTGCAGGATTACCTTCAATCAATCAAAGTCTCTATTCCAGGTAAGACGGAGGGATTGAATATTACGTTGTCTGACATTGTAGTCCGGACGTTTTCCTGAACTTTTCCTCCCAGACCCCTCGTAGAGCGTCGGGGGAATGTGATCGTGAGAATAATTTCCAGAGAATTCACAGCGAGCGAGTGTCGATGAGGTTTGAACACGTGACAGACTTGGAACTGGAAGAATACAAATATCTCAGGAAGAGGAGTCAAAAGAAATGGCACTCCACCAATCAAGCTGAAATAAATTCTACACACTCATAGATATCAGCTCATTGTTTTCATCAAGATCCATGAATTATATCCTGGTAAATCTGAGAAAATGTCACATACGCCCTGAATCACAATGTTCATGGAAATTGTCTACATCCAAACCAACATTGTATGAGTTCTGTCTTGGACCATGTCTCAAGTTTTCATGGAAATGTGTACGGTTGTGTTTCGTGTAATCCTGTTAGAGGACGGGGATGGAATGAAAGAGGACAGAGATAAAACTGTCTCATGTTTGAAACTGTATCATCACAGGCTCTCACTCAGCTGCATTAACCTGAGGATTAACCTTTTGTAAATGAGCACTGTTCTGATGCAGTGCAGTTTGGCTTTGTTTGCTGACAGAATGAAGAGGATTTTAATAGAGCGTAAGCTCTGATAAGACAAAGGATTTACAAAGGTCCGTTTGCAGGTTAATACACTGGAGGCAGAATATTGCAAAATATAATTTCACCGAGCAAATATGCGTCAAATATCCTCCAGAGACAATTCAACTGCGTCTTCTTCCCCTCCCAACGCTTCCCCCTGATGACCACTCCAGGTCTCTAATCACACTCTCTCCTCGTCTTCTGATGATCCTACTCACCCTCTTTCTGTCTGAAGTGCAAAAATTGATCATCACAATCAGGAAGCCTTTTTCTCTCTGTGCTCATGAGTG